CTTGAAGGAGTCTACTTCAAGAAAAAGTAACACATAGGGATAGTCCTTACATGTTTGCTGCTACTATGTCAGGAACTTACTTGTAGTTTGAATTTCTCAATCAAACAATAAAAGAGAATGAGTTTTTGGGACAATTTTCTGTAATTTTCATTAATTGAAATACGATTACAAAATTAACTAACTAATTAATTGGAATAAAGATACGCTACAATGTTTCATTGCATGGCTAAGATCTACAAAATTGAAAAGGGAATTGCTGTTAGAAGAGAAGAGAGGAGTGAAGAAGAAGAAGAAGAAGAGAGAGAGAGAGAAAGAAGAGAATTTGGATTTTCGGGTATATCCTCCTCCCCTGCATTCTGTTAGCTATATAACAGAATTGCTGAATTGGCCCTACTGAGCTGGCACAATCTCCACCCTCGAAGCTCATTAATCCACATTCAATTTGGGTCGTTCATTTTCAATTGCTAAATCTTCAGCTTCTTTCTTCATAACCCCCCATCGATCCTTGACAACCACACTACTTATTTAGCATCATTATTAAGTTCAATACAGGGATCATAACATACCCTGCCCCTCAAAAACAATCCTTGTCCTCAAGGATTAGAATCAAACCCAGAAAATTTGGACTTGAGGAAGGCATAGTCTTCCCAAGTAGCATCTTCAGGAGGTAAATTCGGCCATTGGACTAAGACTGTAACAGAAGCTGCATTGCCTTTTTTCACAAGCTGTCTTTGGAGTATGACCACTGGTTTGACCATGAATTGACCTTCTTCATTGGAGATAGGTAGAACTATCTGGACCACTGTTTTACTTCCTACCTTCTTCTTGAGTAATGAAACATGGAAGACATGATGGACCTTAGAAGTTGGAGGCAGCTGAAGTTTGTAAGCCACCTGACCCATCTTAGCAATGATTAGAAATGGACCATAATATTTGGAACTGAGCTTAAGGTTTTTCCTCAAAGCTATAGATGTTTTCCTGTAAGGCCAGTGCTTCAGATAAACTATGTCGCCCACTTGGAACTCCCTTTCAGTTCTTCTTGAATCAGCATACAGTTTCATCCTCTCCTGAGCCTTGCATAAGTTGTCTTTGAGTAATTGCACCATTTGCTATCTTTGTAAGACAGCATCAGCAACATCGGGTATAGCAGTTTCCAAAAGAGGACCCAAGGATATTTGAGGAGGTGTGAATCCATAAAGAGCCTCAAATGGGGTACCTTGCAAACTTGTGTGAAAGTTTGTATTGTACCACCATTCAGCCAAGCATAACCATTTCTTCCAATTCTGAGGTCTGTTACTAGTCATACATCTCAAATAGTTCTCAATACATTTATTCACCCTTTCAGTCTGGCCATCAGTTTGAGGGTGATAAGCCGAGCTATACAACAATTGAATACCCTTCAGTTTGAACAAAGCTTGTCAAATATTACTGAGAAAAATTGTCTCTATTAGAGACAATGGTCTCATGACTGCCATGCAAAGTGTGGACCCTCTTCCAGAATTTGTTAGCTACCTCTAAGGAAGTGAAAGGGTGAGCTAAAGCCATGAGGTGAGCTGATTTAGTTAGTATGTCTACTACTACAAATATGACATCCTTTCCCTGTGACTTTGGTAATCCTTCTATGAAATCCATACTGATGTGTCTCCATGCTTGATCTGGGATTGGAAGAGGTTGGAGAAGTCCAGGATAAGCCACATTTTCATCTTTATTTCTCTGACAAACCTCACACTCATTCACATGTTGAATCACCATTTATTTCATGAGAGGCCAGTAGAAGAGTTGACCCAGTCTTTTGAGTGTTCCCAACTACCCTGAGTGTCCCCCAAGAGATGAATCATGAAAGATTTGGATCAATTGCTACCTCAAGTTGCCAGTACATCCCACATAATTTTTTCCCTTCCTCCTCAAAATACCTGAGTTATAGTGCCAGAGATGAGGCCTTTGTCTAGCTACTACTAGTTGTGTGATCATATCAAGGGCTTGAGGATCTAGTTCATAGTTGGTGCTGATTTCTAACCCCCAAGCTGGAACTGAAGAGCTGATAGCATGAATCTGGGCATTTGGGAGGTTATCATGTAGAGTCTGTATTCCTTCAAATTGTCTTGATAGGGCATCAGCCACTCAGTTCTCTGCTCCTCTTTTGTATTGAACCTTATAATCAAGTCCTAATAATTTTGTTAGACCCTTCTCTTGAATAGCAGATGTGACCTTCTGTTCTAGAAGGTACTTCAAGATGTGGTGGGCAGTCCTCACCACAAAGTGCTTGAATTGCAAGTAATGCTTCCACTTATCAATGGCATTAAGTAGTGCCATATACTCCTTCTCAGATACTGACTTGCCCCTATGTTTTAGGGCTAGAACCTTGCTGAAATAAGCTATAGGTCTGCCTTATTGCATAAGTACAACTCCTATTCCTGAGTGACAAGTATCAGTTTCAATCACAAATTCTTTAGTGTAGTCGGGTAAAGCCAACACAAGTGTGGCTGACATAGCCCTTTTGAGAGCTTCAAATGCAGCTTCACCTTCAGGGCTCCATATGAAGCTATCTTTCTTAAGTAAGTCAGTTAAGAGTCTGCATACAGCTCTATAGTTAGCTACATACTTCCTATAGTAGCCAGTAAGCCCAAGGAATCCTCTAAGTGCCTTGACAGTGGTAGGTCTAGGCCAATTGACCATAGCAAGTACCTTGTCAGGGTTAATGGTCACCCCTTCAGCTGTTATCACATGACCAAGATACTCTACTTTAGACTGACCAAACAAACATTTGGACCTTTTGGCATATAGGGAGTGTTTCTTCAATGTTTTAAACACAGTAGACAAATGTTTCACATGGTCTTCCAATGATTTGCTATAGATTAAGATGTCATCAAAGAAAACCAACACAAACCTTCTGAGGAAGGGTTGGAACACCTGATTCATTAATGCCTGAAAAGTTGCAGAGGCATTCGTAAGCCCAAATGGAATTACCTTGAACTCATAGTGGCCCATGTGAGTTCGAAAAGCAGTTTTATGAACATCTTCTGCCTTCATTCTTATCTGGTGATACCCAGCCCTTAGGTCCACTTTAGAGAATATTTCAGACCCATGCAGCTCATCCAACAAATCATCTACAATGGGAATTGGATACTTGTCTTTAAAAGTTATCTCATTCAAACCCTATAGTCCACACAAAACCTCCATGTACCATCCTTCTTCTTTACTAGTAAGGCTGGTGAGGAGAAGGGTGACTGGCTTTGTTGTATTATCTGATTGAAGAACATCTCTTTGACTTGCTTCTCAAGCTCTTCCTTCTGATAGTAGTTATACCTGTAAGGCCTTAGACTCACAGGTGAGGCTCCATCTTTCGAATGGCATGGTCAAGAGTTCTGACAGGAGGGAGGGTCCTTGGTTCAGTAAAAACTTCCTCATACTGGTTCAACACTTCTTGAATAGGCACATCCACCTTCTCTTGATTGGATGAATGATTCACCCTGACCATGAACAAGTGAGCTAGTATAGTTTGACCCTTCTTGATCAACCTTCCCATTGAGCTACCACTGATCATGCTTAGATTACCTTTTTCAGGGATGGCATGTAACACTGTCTTATTTCCTTCCTCCCAATGGTGACACATCTTTTCTCATGCTCAAACTTGGTAGGATTGTACTTCTTTATCCAGTCATTGCCCAGCACTATATCACACCCACCTAGCTTGATAATTATCAGATCTTCCTTAAAGGGTTTGCCCTGCATCTTCCAACTAAAGGCAATACAAATAGTGTGACACATGACATAATTGCCATCAGCTACTGTGACCTTCATTGGGCTGCTATAATGTGGTACATAGCCAGTGTCCTTAACAACTTGCTCAACAATGAAGCTGTGAGTGCTTCCTGAGTCTACTAGAATAGTGAGGTTCCTGTGTTTAATGATTCCCCTAACTAGTATTGAATTCACTCCTGAGGAATTACCAGATAAGGCACTTAGACACACAGCTTCCAGTACCTCCTGCTGAATATCTCCTTCTATCATCACATTATGCAGATCATTTGCTTCATTTATGGTTTCAACAGGTTCTTCATGCTCCCCAACTATACAATTCAATTGTCGGTTGTGGCACCTGTGCCCAGGAGTGTATTTTTCCCCACACTTGAAACACAACAGTTTGGCCTTCATGTACTCATACATTTCAGGACTCAACCTATAAGTGTTGTTCCTACTGGCTGGATGGTTGTTGTTCCTAGTGTTAGGGAATGTAGCAGGTGCATGATTAGGAGTTGCTGAGGTCCTAGCAGTAGCAGAGTTAGCATGGGACGGGCTAAATTTAGCCCCTAGTTTATCCTTTATTTGCAAAACCTCTAGAGCCTTTTCCTGTAACCTTGCTTGTTCTATGGAACTGCTTAAGGTTGTAGGCTTGAACAACTTAACAGCATACCTAATTTCCCCCTTGAGAGCTCCCATAAAACTGGACAGAAAATGTGACTCATTCAAAACAGAATTTCTTATAAGCATGTGAGCCTTAAGGTCCTCAAACTTGCCCAGAAACTCCTCTACTGTCCCCATCTGTTGGAGTTTGTTAAACTCCTCTACCACATCCTCCATAAGATTTTCTCCAAATCTAATACATAATTCTTCCTTAAATTCATCCCAAGTTACTACTCCATTGCTCAATGTTAAGGAATTATATCATACTTCAGCTAGACCATTCAAATAAAGTGCAGCAACCTCAACTTTCAAGTTATCGGCAGTTTTATACAATTTGAAATATCTCTCACATTTTCGAAGTCATACCTTTGGTTCCTTGCCTTCAAAACTGGGTAATTCCCACTTGGGAGGGGGAATAAGAAACCCAACCTATCTATTGAGCCTTGCTTCATGTGCTGGCAGAGGGAGCAAGCCATCGCCCAGATCTGGAACCCTTGCTGGTGGTCTTTCCTAAGTAGTCAAACGATCCAAAATCTGCTCCAAGGTGCCTTGAATGCCAAGTTGCGTCTGTTGCAAGGTTTGTTGCCCAACAATGAGCTCAACTAACACCTCCTCGTGGTGAGTGATCTTCGCGTCCATGGTCTGCATCCTCGTACCTTTAACAATTAACGATTCACAAGTCGCAGGTATGAAGGCTCTGATACCAAATGTCAGGAACTGACTTGTAATTTGAATTTCTCAATCAAACAATAAAAGATAATAAGTTTTTGGGATAATTTTCTATAATTTTAATTAATTAAAATGTGATTACAAAATGAACTAACTAATTAACTAGAATGAAGATAAGCTACAATGTTTCATTGCATGGCTAAGATCTACAGAATTGAAAAGGGAATTGATGTTAGAAGAGAAGAGAGGAGTGAAGAAGAAGAAGAAAAGAGAGAAAGAAAGGAATTTAGATTTTCGGGTATATCCTCATCCCCTGCATTCTGTTAGCTTATGTAACAGAATTACTGAGTTGGCCCTGCTGAGCTAGCACAATCTCCACCCTCGAAGCTCATTAATCCGCATTCAATTTGGGTCGTTCATTTTCAATTGCTAAATCTTCAGCTTCTTTCTTCACAACCCCCATCGATCCTTGACAACCACACTACTTATTTAGCCTAATTATTCAACTCAATACAAGGATCATAACATACCGGGACTTACGACAAAATCGAACAAAAACTTTAACACTGAACAAAAGGAGGGGAAGGGGCAAGCAACG